CTGGCTGGCCCCCAGCATCTGCAGGCCTGTGGTGCCCTGCGTCGTGCTGCAGCATGAACGCCTCCACCACATCTCACAGGCTGCGGGTGCAGCATGCTGTGCTGTTTCTTTCTCGCCATGTTTTTCTTGCCTCCCTTTACTAGAGCTGGGGTTGTCGCCCTGAGCCACTGAGCCATGTGGTACCGGCTTATGTAACAGCAGCCATTCCCTGCCCTCCCCCAAGCCCTGTGCTGCTGGCCCCTGTGTCTGCTCTGGGCACCTCCTTGGCTCTGGCGTACTCCCCCGAAAGCAAGCCCAGGAGACCACTTCTGCTCTTGTCTGTGTTGCAGCTGAGGAAAGCAAGGCTCTCGCAGCTGCTGAATGGGCCCAGGCAGTCTGAAGTCCCCAAAGTGCACCTGGCCTCAAAGCCGTGGGTTCCTTGAAATGGACCCTTCTGGAGGGCAGAATTGCTCCTTAGCCTGTCTGTGATGTGCAGAGTGAAGGCGAGATGCTGGGATCTGTGCTGCAGGCATGATTGTGGCAGCCAGGAAATGCTGGAGTTCCGCGTGTGGACATCTTCTGGGGTTCCATTCTCCTCTAGCGGTTTCTGCAGACTTGCCCTGTGGGCTGGAGCCAGGTGGGGGAGAACGGGATCGGCCAAGAGTCTGGGTCCTGACGGGCAGCCCCCTTCTACCCCAGCTTGAGCCAGCCTAGCTGCTGCCCCGGCCCTGTTGCTAACCCTTCCCTGTCTGTCTGCAGTGGTGTGGGCTGTGCAGTGGCCAGAAGAGGCCCTGGGAGGGTGATGCTGTTTCTGAGAAGCCATGCGACCATCCCTGTCCTTGTGTGGGGACACCCCCTTGGCTTTTCCATATGCCAAGTTCAGCGGGGATGGCATCTGTGTATGCCAAACCCTTGTCTTCCATTGTGTACCTGCCTGGCGCTATTGCGGATTTTTTCAGAGTCTTAAAGATCTGGCTTTCTGAAGAGATCATTGTGGGTTTTTCAGATTAGGGAGGCTCAGCCAGTGAAGTCTGAGTAATTGATTCACAATCTAAACTCTCCCCAGGCGTTTGAGATGAGGGGTACTTGATCTAACTTAATCAAATCCAGGAGCAAAAGATATGTAAATAAGGGTGGAGGGTGGAGATTGGGATTTCTGTGAATCAGGTATTTCCTTGTTGTACTGAGCTCCTAGTGGTGCCTGGTGACCCAGGAGAGTCCAGGGAGGAGGTGGCGGGGGGTCAGGTGGGATGGGGGAATGGGTGGGGTGGAGGGGGCCCATGTGGAGCTTCAGTGTTCCCAAGCCCGGAGGCTGGGCCAGGTCAGTAGGCAGAGCTCACCCTGTCTGTGTATGAGGGGCCTGCAAGAGGTTCATGCAAATATGTATATGAAAAAATAAATGCTACATGTTTCAGAATTTGGGGCTGAAGTAGATCTTTTAATTCTCCATGCACTTTTTGCAGTACTCAAGATTTCAAAACGTGACTGAGTCTTGAAACACAGACATTTGGTTCTGAAAATGAGGAGGGGGCACATGTGCCCCAGGTGTGAATTCCCCCAAGACCCATGGGCTCATCCCTGCTCCCGCCAGTCAGCTTGTTGCTGTAGCATGGAGGTGGCAGTCTTTGACTTTTTAAAAAGATTCGCTTATTTATTTGAAAGGCAGAATTAACTGAGGGAAAGAGAGGGAGGGAAAGAGAGGAGGAGGAGGAGGAGGAGGAAGGGACAGAGAGCTCTTCCATTGGCTGTTTCACTCGCACATGACCGCTGCGGCTGGGACTTGCCCGGGGCTCCTCCTGCGTCTCCCACATGGGTGCAGGGGCCCAAACACTTGGCGCATCACCTGCATGTTAGCAGGGAGCTCGGTCAAGAGTGGAGCAGCTGGACCTGAATGGGTACCCATGTGCAATGGCAGCATTACAGGCGGTGGTTACGCTGCTGCATCACAATGCTGGCCCTAGGATTCAGTCCCGAGACAGTGGCACTCGCACCCCTGGATTTGCTGTTGTAATTGTTGTTCGGTTTGGAGATTGTTCTGGTGAATGTTCATGTCACCATAAACTGGCACTTCGAAGGATGGATGCACCTTTATTGTACGAACTACAGGAGAGAACAGAAATCACACAGGCATTAAAGTGATGGGGCTCAGAGGAGTCTGTGGTTTGCTGTTGGTACCAGAGCTGGGTGCCTTAACTAAACAACTGTATCTTCAGCCACGGCAACAGGTTTTGGGAGTGAAGACATTCAGTCACGGTTTCTGCTTCTGTGGGCTGCTGCACTTTGTCACCATTGCAGCTGCCGAGCGGCAGGGGCTGGGGCCCCTGTACGGCACCTGTCGGTGTCCCTGGGTTTGGATTGGTCCGTCTCCTCCCTGACCTGCCCTTACAGGCAAGGAGATGAAGCCACTTGGCTAACGGCAGCCCCTTGGGAGGGAAGCCAGGCAGGTGTGCAGAGGTATCTGTTTAAAAGCAGAAGCTTCATTTTGTAGTTTTGCACTTGGTGGGGAAGGGGCTGTCAGTTGATACACTTTCACTTCCTTCTGAGTGTTTCATGTCTCAGAGGCACGAGGGCTGTCTGCCTTTGGAAGTCGTTTATGTTTGATTCATGTGGGAGACAGGCAGTTTCCATCAGTTGGTTTATTTCCCTGGTGCTCACAGAGGCTGGGTAGGGTGGGAACTCAATCCAGGGTCCCCCTGCAAGTGGCAGAAACCTGGTGATTTGAGCCTGGGCACTCTGGTGTGGTTCGTGGCCATTGTCTTTTTTTTTTTTTTTTTTCCCCAAAGATTTGATTGTTTGAAAGGTAGGCAGAAAGAGATGTTTCGTCTCCCAATGGGCAGGCTGGGCCAACCCGGGAGCCAGGAACTCCTCCTGGGTCTTCCCTGTGAGTAACGGGCCCAGGCCCTTGGGCCCTCCTCCACTACTTTCCCACATGTGTTAGGAGAGAGTTGGACCAGTGCCTGGATGGGATTCCAGCATTGCATGTACTTCCTTAGCCTGCTAGGCCGCAACACTGACCCAATCGCAATTCTTCACTATCTAGTCCTTTTTTCACACATTCTTCCAGCTATTTCAAATATGTATTTTCTTGTGATTGGTTTGAAGCGAGTTCTGTTGTGGTTTGCTCCATGGCGAGGGCCTCCTCCTTCCTTGCGTGCTGTGTGACATGCTCACCGCAGTGATATGGTGAGTACAAAGCACTGTGTGACAGAGCAGCTGCTCAATGATAGCTGGGTAAGAAGTGGGCCAGGGACCAGCACTGTGGCTTAACTAGCTAATCCTCTACCTGTAAGCACTGGCATTCCATCTGGGTGACAGTTCATATCCTGGCTGCTCTACTTCTGTCAAGCTCCCTGCTTGTGGCCCGTGAAAGCAGTTGAGGACGGCGGCCCAAAGCCTTGGGACCCTGCACCCGGGTGGGAGACTTACAAGAAGCTCCTGGCTCCAGATCAGCTCCGTCCCAGCGGTTGTGGCCACTTCGGGAGTGAGCCAGCAGACAGGAGATGTTTCTCTCTGTATCGCCTTCTCTCTAAATCTTTCAACAAAAACAAATCTTTTTACAGAAGTGGGCCAGGAAGCAATTTTCAGAACACTTTATTGTGGGAAATGTGCAGACATAGTTAAGATGGCGCCAACGCAGTAGGTCGCTGAGGGCCTGGCCTGTGGTCGGCGGTCTGCAGTGTTATCATTACAGGTGTTTCCCACACACTCCTGCCGTGATTATGTGTGGGCAGCCCCGTGGCTGAGGCCTCGGCATTCCAGCCCGAGGAGGCAGTGACCGGCTCAGGGTTGTGGACCCCTAACAGGAGTCATTTTTGTTTGTTTCATGCATGTGACCTCCCCCAACCCAGGTTTCTTGACAACACCCCATGGCCTCACAGTGGCCCGATTGTCTTGGGCCCTCAATGCCACTTCTGTCCAGGGTGTTGGCATGTTTGCTTTGTTGCTGTTGTGGCATGGGATCCAGGGGATTTGGAGAGCTGCGGGGCCTGTTTGACTGTGTGGTGCTGGTGGGACCCAGTCTCTCAGGACAGCCATCCCTGCCATTGTTGGTAGCTCTGTTGGCAATGCCCAGCTGTTTTCTGCTGGCCTGCCGACCCCACCACACTGGCGTTGCCCTCCCCCTCAACGGGGAGGTCATGCGGCACAGCCCTGAGGTCAGCCACTGGCTGTGTCCCCGGCTGAGCTGACCTGTGGCCCCTGTGCAGGCAGCAGTGCATAAGGCGGGAGCCCGCAGCCTGCTCGGCCCTGGGACTCGTGTCCTCAGGCCTGGGGTTTTGTTTTGCCCCTGCGGTTTCTGAAAACTTCCTCTAAGTCATGTAGGAGTCAGGTGGAGCCCTGCTGCTCCCGCTGCCTTCTGAGTCCCGGGGGCTGCCCCCGGATGTCCCAGCCTGGCCTGGCTGCCAGCCCCTTGGCCTTGGCAGTGGCCTGCTGTGGGCACCTAGGGGAGTTACAGGGAGCTGCAGCTGGTGCCTCATGCACGCATATGCAGTTGCAGTCACATGGCCTGATCCTGGGAGGGGTAATTTCTGCTGGCCCCGAGAACTGGAATGCGAATCTACTCTGGGTGGCAGGAATTCCCTGTGGTCACAGTTAAGGGAAACAGGTGAACTCCACGTTCACATATTTTTCCTACTCTCATTTATCCTGAATAGTTCAGCATGTCGCCAGTGCAGAAATTGTTCAGGAGGAGTTTGACAGTCCTGTGCTGTGGGGAGTCTTTGGAATGAGGGGTGTTTAGTGCTGCAGCTGGGTGAATCCTCTCGCAGGTGCTCAGAGCCTTGGGGGACTGCTGGCAGCCGCAGCTGGCGTTGACGGTCCTATCTGGGGACATAACTTGAGAACAGGGTCTGCGCTGTTGGCAAGGCCCCTGTGGGTGCCATGCCTGTCCCCAGAGCAGAGACAGATAGAGCTGGGCAGGGTACATCCTGGCTCTCGGGACCCTCCTCTTGGGGTTGGGGATGGCAGGTGCTTGAGGAACTTCCGCCCCATCTGACATCTCACGGGGGTAATTTCTCACACAGGCACAGCTAGAAGCACAGAAGGCCACGCAGGACTTCCAGAGAGCCACGGAGGTGCTGCGCGCAGCCAAGGAGACCATCTCGTTGGCCGAGCAGCGGTTACTAGAGGACGACAAGCGGCAGTTTGACTCGGCTTGGCAGGAGATGTTGAACCATGCTACCCAGAGGGTAGGAGCTGCCCCTGGGGCCCTGTGCTGTGCACACATGCCTGGCTGTCCCCCAGGGTTCCCGGAACTCCTGGCTGGACCTGGTACTAGGTCCTGCTTGGGGTACAGTCTCTGAGTGATGGGCGTCGCTGCCCCTCCTGTATTGCTTCTTGAAGATCTTGACCATGGACTCGGGGATCTCAGGTGGTTTGCCAGAGTCAAGTCCCATGGAGTCCCTGCAGGCGGCTGTGTCTGGGTGTGGGCTTCCAGGCAGATAATCCACAGCCACACTGAACCTGGACTCAGAGGATCGGGGAATGGGTTAGGTGTTGTTGCTGGAAGGCGGGGGTCGTGGGCCTGGGCGGGAGCAGCCAGCATCCTGTGTTGGCAGTGGGCTGTGTCTGACCTTGATCCTGTCCTTGACTTGCTGGGCAGCTCTGAACAGACTCCTCACGGGCAGTATTGCATCCCCGTCTGTTCGGGCTGCTGTAAAACCAGATACTGTAAATGCGGTGGTTTGGGAGCCTTGGGGATGTTCTGTGCTGGCCTGGAATGGAACGAGCAGGCGTTGGTGCCAGCAGTCTGTCCTTGTCAGTGTCGCAGTCACAGGCTCCCGTCCTGGGGGGATCCCATGGTAGACAGTGACCTGCGCTGCCTTAAATAGCTGAATGCAGATGTCTGCCCGGGGTGTCTGTCCTGTGACTTGAACTACGAATCCCCAGGCCTGGGACAGGCTGCTGTCTCTGTGTGAGTCTCCTGTGCCCCCTAGTGGACATGGCGCTCGCAGCAGCTGAGCCCAGGCCAGCTCCTAGCCCAGCTCCACGCACAAGCCAGAGATGTGAAATAGACACCCCAGCCTCATTTCCCTCCTCATGCCTGCCCCCCCAGTCCACTAAGGACTGAGCCGTCAGTGAGGGTGCCTCGTTTCTGCACCCCAGCTGGAGCCCTGGATCAGACTGCAAGTTCTTTTTCTGTTCTTTAAAAACAAGCAAATTATGTGTCTGCTTTGAATATCTTAAAATGATTTTTAATTAAATTATTTTAATTGGAAAGGCAAATTTACAGAGAGGACAGAAATATCTTTCTTCCAGAATGGCCACTGTGGCGGAGCTGAGCCAATCTGAAGCCAGGAACCCAGAGCTTCTTCCAGGTCTCCCATGCAGGTGCAGGGTCCCAAGGCTTTAGGCCATCCTCTACTGCTTTCCCAGGACACAAGCAGGGAGCTGGATGGGAAGTGGAGCAGCCAGGATTAGAACCGGCACCCATATGGGATCCCTGAAGCTTAGTGGTCGCCAGGTTGCACGAATGTCCCTCCCCCTCTCCTCTGGGACTTCCTGCCAGAACTTTGGTCCTGGCTGTGTTTGTGAACCTCGCCATTGTAGGAAAGTCTGGTTTGTCTTTAGTTTGGCCCTCCTGGGGCCTCCATCCTCTGTGCCAGGCCAGTATGTTCTGGAAGAGACCAAGCACCTGCAGTGATGCTTGCTGGTTTTTAGTGTGTTTGGGATGTTTTGGAAGGTGGAGTGACAGGGAAAGGCCAGAGACCTTCCATCTGTAGATGGATTTTCCATGTGGCCGCACCAGCCAGGGCTGGGCCAGTGCAGGCCAGGAGCCTGGGACTCCATCCTGGTTTCCCATGTGGCTGGCAGGGGCCCACATAATTGGGTCAGCATCTGCTGTCTGTCCAGGTGTTAGCAGGAAGTGGGATGGGCAGCAGAATAGTGGGACTGTGCTGGCGTCCCCATGTGGGGCACCCGCCCACGCTGCAAGCGTGCCAGGTCCACTGTGCCAGGCAGTGGGCCCTGGTACCTGCCATTGCTCATTCCTCATTTTACTGTTCTTCTGGTTCCCTGAAGTCTCTTTATCTGCCCATCAGCCCCCATCCTTAGCTTAAACCTGCTGGCTTGTTGGCTCAATAAAGAACGGTGTGGGTCGCATACCAAGCAGGAGCCTCCCGGGGCTTGCCCGGGCTGACCTCTGCGCTGTGTGCAGGTCATGGAGGCTGAGCAGACCAAAACGAGGAGCGAGCTGGTGCATAAGGAGACGGCCGCCAGGTACAACGCCGCCATGGGCCGCATGCGGCAGCTGGAGAAGAAGCTCAAGAGAGCCATCAACAAGTCCAAGTGAGTCCGGCACGGCCGTCTGTGGCCACATGGCTGTCTTGTCACCACAAGCCTCCTGCTTCTTTTGAATCTCTGGGCCTCACAGCGAAAGGAGCAGGAACTCGGAGTGGCCTAGACACCCACACAGACCCGGAGCAGGAAAGCCTGCCCTTGGCCCTTGGCCCCCAGTTCCTGCAAGGAGGGGCCTGGTCCAGGACAGGGCCTGCAGGGGGCGCTCGCGGCTCTGCTGTGTTCTGCCACAGTGAATTCCCTGGGCTCAGCGTGTCAGGTGTCTGTCAGGTCATCTGCTTCCTATATGCCTGTGCGACACGCACACACGTGCACATGAGCAGCACTTGCCTGTTTGCTGCTGCATTTGGTGTGTGTGTGTGTGTGTGTGTGTGTGTAGCTGAACACTGTGCATGGCATCTGGGTGGCCTGGGGGAGCACTCGGGAGGGCAGCCTCCACGCTGCTGCCTTTGCCTGGCCTGAGCACACTTGGCACACGCTCACGAACTCAGTGAACCCATGAAGAAAATTGCCGTGGCCCTTCTCTGCCTACCCTGGCAAGCTCCTGGAGTGCTGTGGGGGCCAGCCTGAAGGTGCCCGTCCTGTTCTTCGTGCTTGGCACACAGGCTCCTATTCCTATCGCTGGGACGTTCTCCATGTGCCCCAGTCGGCACTGCCACACTCTATACGCCCCGGGTGCCAACGTCCTCTCAGCTGTGAGAGTGCCTGTCCACGTCCAGTTTGATGTGGATGCTTCTGGAGCAGGGCTTGGGGGTCTCCAGGAAGGGTACTGCTCAGGAATGAAGCGTTGGTCTCGGTGCACAGACTCCCAAGCTCCTAGGCAGAGCCAGGCAGCATGGGGGAACATGAGTGTTGGTGACTTGGCTACTGTTGCTGCTGGCCAGGCAGTGAGAGCACTGTGGGGTCTGGCACAGGGACCCTCAGGGTGCGGGAGGTGGGGGTGCGCTGGGCTCTGTGTCAGCTGGTGACCTGGCCTCTGCCATGGCTTCTGACTCACGCTCTCTCCCATCTCGTGCAGGCCTTACTTTGAACTCAAGGCGAAGTACCATGTGCAGATGGAGGTACGTGTGGCCTGGGCTGTGCTGCGATGGTACGCCCCGCCACTCTGCTCCTCCTGCGGGGCTGCCCTGTGGCTGTGGGCTGAGGTAGTCTAGGCTTTCAGCACGTCTGTCCCCTCCTGTCCTGGGACAGGCCTTCACACTGTGTGCTCGTGGGACTAGCAGCCTGCGTGGGCCCCATCCTGCACCCACTGTGGGAGTCAGGCCCTCAGGGAGGGGTTCCGAGGCCTGTCCCTGGCTGCAGGGTCATCAGGTCCTCAATGTGTTGGCATGCTCTGGGGCAGTGGGCAGAACACGGGCCCAGGGCTTGCTCGCTAGCTCTCACTGGGCCTCCTGCTGTCTTGTGTAGCTGCTGAAGACGACGGTGGACCAGCTGCATGCCAAGCTGAGCCTGGCCAAGGGCGAGTACAAGACGGCCCTGAAGAACCTTGAGATGATCTCGGATGAGATTCATGAGCGTCGGCGCTCCAGCGCCATGGGGCCCCGGGGCTGTGGTGTGGGCGCCGAGGGCAGTGGCACGGCTGTGGAGGGCCCACCGGTGGGCAAGCCCGAGCTGGACGCCGTCTCTGGTGAGCGGAGCCTGGACGCTGTCACCCACCTTCTTTGCTCTGTCCCTGGGGATGGGGAGCAGGGCCAGGGGAAGGGCACCAGGCATCCTGGGCTGTTCCCCTTTCCACCCGTGTCTAAGGGCCAAGGATGCGTGGGAACATTTGAGGCTCTGAAAGAACCCTGTGTGGAAGACGCACTTCTACACAGTGCCTCGGGCATCTGGCCCTGGCCTTCACCGTACTAGGGCGAGATGTGGGCAGAGCTTTCCCTGAGAGCGCGAGCCCACCTGCTCCTTTATTACCCAAAATGCCCACAAGAGCCAGGGATTGGCCAGGGCAAAGTCAGGAGCTTGGCAACTCCAGCCGGGTCTCCCACACAGGTGGCTGGCTTGGGGAGGCCTTAGAGGGGTTCAGGGGCTTGTATGACAGTGTCCTCTTGTCCCAGTGGCCTCGGAGGCGTTTGAGGATGACACCTGTAGCAACTTCGTATCTGAAGATGACTCGGAAACCCAGTCTCTGTCCAGCTTCAGTTCGGGACCCGTGAGCCCGTCTGAGATCCCCGAGCAGCTCCCGGCGGTGGTGCGGCCCGGCAGCCTGGACCTGCCCAGCCCCGTGTCCCTGTCTGAGTTCGGCCTGATGTTTCCCGTGCTGGGCCCACGCAGTGAATGCAGTGGGGCCTCCTCTCCGGAGTGTGAGGTGGAGCGAGGTGAGCACACTCCCATCCCTCTGCGGGGTCTCAGGGTGGGGGACCCCCACTGTCTCATGACTGCAGCCTGTTGATGTACCCTCACTGTGGAGGTCCCTGGGTGCTGCCCAGGGTCTCCCAACAGCCTCTTGCAAGTGGAGCTCAAGCCTCTAGGGTCCCGGGCCTGAGCAGCCCTTGCCACGCGGGGTTGGGGTGAGTGGGCTGCCTGCCTGCCCCCAGTTCCTTTCTCTCTGTGTCTGCAGGAGACAGGGCAGAAGGAGCAGAGAACAAGACAAGTGACAAAGGCAGCAACAACCGGGGCCTCGGCGGCGGTGGCGGCCGCAAGAGCCAGAGCAGCGTCTCCCCGGAGGGCCAGGCCTTGGAGAGCCGCCTGCAGCAGCTCTCTCTCCAGTGCTCCAGGGGGAGAGAGGGGCTGCTGGTGGACACAAAGACTGGCTGATCCTTGCAGGCCCGCGGCCATCGTGAATGTCACTATTTATACCTGAAACCGGAGAACATCGTGCCAATTGTCGTTCACTATATGCCAAATCTTGAGCATTTTCTCTAATCTGAACTGATGACGTCTCAGAGACCCTGAGGGCTGAAGATTGTTCTGGGAAGAGCTGCTGTCGTGGGTGGACCTCGTGGCCAGGCTGGCGGTAGGGGGCTTGTGGCAGCGCTGTGGAGGTACAGGAGCCAGCCCGCGTGGGCAGCGGGTCCCTCGCCCTTGTTTCCCAGGCTACCTTGAAGGAAACGTCGTCCTGGCCTGCATTCCCCACTGCCACCCACTAGCGAGGATGAGTACTCAGCGCATGCGCCGGCGAAGGCTTCAAGAGCATCCTGTGGCACTGGCCGTTGCCGAAGCCGCGACTTCCTAGAGGGGGTGGGGACAGGGACTGAGGGAGGGTGGGGCGGGAGGGTTCCCTAGCAGAGACCTTCCTGCTGGCTGCGGGATTTGTCAGCCAAGAGGTGCATGCCAAGAATGGTCGCCACTGTTCTGTTAGCCTGACAAGTGTTTTCACTTGGAATGAAATGACTGAAGGGTTGGGCAGCACTGGTCCTTCTTAGGGGAGCTTGTGAAGGGAGGAAGCATGTGTCGGCAAAGGCTGTTACGGAGAGCAGAGGCTTCTGTTATGCTAATAGTAGTTAAGACTGCTTTTCTTTACTGTTCTCATGGTTATGCATATCTAGAATGTCTGGATTTTTCCTTTTTTGTTAGGATAATTTAGCATTTCTAAAAAAAAGGGGGGGGGAGGAAAAAAATAAAGCAACCTGCCCATTTCAAGTTGTCTGTTAACCCTGCGTGCAGCTTGTGTCGTTCAGGCATTAGTAAATCTCCCTGCTGCGGCGGTCTCTTTTTTATTGACGGATGAGTATTCTACTTCCAAGGTTATTTTGTACTCGTCTTAATACCTTGAGTGTAATAAACATGGCCTAAGGAAGCCTGGTGTTGGGCGACTTCCACCAAGAGAGCCCCAGTGTGCCGCTTACCCGCAAGGAGGACCAAGGCAGTGGTCGGCGTGCTCTCACCTCCGGCCTCGAGGCTACCGCAGATGATGAAGACGGCAGGTGGGCAGCGAGACGAGGGGTCCGGCAGAGGAGCGCACGCTGCTGGCCTGCCTGTCCCGAGATGGGTGCTTGTGGTTGGGGGGACACTGGGGCAGTGGGACGGCTACCTGGGACCCTTGCTCTGGTGGAAGTGTCGCACTGTGGGGCCGCTCCGTTGCATTTCCCAGCCCAATGCTGCAGGGGAGAGGGAAGTACACGGCTGGCCAGGAAGCAGAGTGTTAAAGCTGTTCCAGAAATGCTCGGAACCCTTTGCCATAGACACTGAATTTTCCTGGTAAATATTTCCTATAGAAAAATTCATGAAAATCTCACTGCATATTTAAAATGTGCTGCTACTCACTTCTCATAAAACCCCCTTGCCCGGCGCGTTCTCACTTTGTCTCCCTGCAAAGGAGGCACTGCTTCCAGTTCTTCCCCCCTCTAGCAATCAGCAGCCGGAAGTGGGGCTGCTTTGCGGTTCCTCCGAGTGCCCGTCAGCATTGAGGACCCTTGCAGTTTGACTTCTGTAAAAAGAACACGGCATTTCCCTGGGTACTGATATGGTGATGCTGGTGGGTGTGGCTTCTCCCCTTCTCTCCACCCTTCCTCCCAGATGCAGGAAAAGAAAATTGGAAACAAATCAGCTCGTCCACTTCCCCTGTGCCTCGACCCTTCCCGCCCTGATCAGCAGACCCGGGCGCATGCATCCTTCCCAACTGTGTGGGCATCAAACGCCCAGCAGCAAGCCAGCCGTGTCCTTCCTGACTCTAGTTCCCCTCTGACCACTTCCTGCAGAGAAGTCGAAGTGAGACGGTTTGGTCTTTTGGGCAAAACTTGGCCTTCGGATGGCAAAGTGTGCCGCTGGGTGCTCCCCTCTCCCACCGTCACTTCACAAGGTTCAGGGTGCAGAAGCTCCCCACTCCTGTCTGGGCAGCTTTCTCCCGTGCTCTGTTGGGACTCAGGATCGGCCTCGGGGGACTCCTCGCTGGCCGCCTTCCCTTTTTCCTTTCCCCTGCTTCCCTGACCTCTTATGGGCCTTCATAGTTACTACTTCCAAAAAATCCAGTTATTCCCTCAGTCAGTTTTGAGCTGCTGGTGCAGTTACCAACCTGCTGTGTGGTCCGGATGTGTGCTGTCACTGCTGGCAGCAGAGCAGCCCAGGCGAGGTGGTGAGCCTGCAGCAAGAGCCTCACCTCCTGCAGCTGTCTCCCTGTTTTTCTTCAGCTGTAGACAAGACTAGTAGCAGCACCTCCTTCAGCCACCAGACAGAGGAAAGAACTGCACTCGCAGGGCCCGTGGGAAGCCCTCTCGGCTGGCTGCATCTTATGGCCTGCCAGTAGCCCTTCGGCAACTCTGCAAGTAAATTTTCCGTTACTGCTTTAGCCCAAACAAATCTTTCCTTTACTTACACACCTTGAAACTGGGAAAATCCTAAATTATAAGAGCCAGAGGATGATGGGAGGGGACAGGGGAATCTATTAACAGCTGCAGGCCAAACCAGCACCAAATTATACCACCTTGCATGTACGGACCTTGGGTGAACAGTGCCAGCACTATGGCAAAGCAAGCTAAACAGCCAGTGGCATCGTACATGCGCATGAGTTCCAGTCCTGGCTGCCCTACACTGACACAGCTCCCTGTTAATGTGTCTGGGAAGGAGCAGAAGGCCTGAGTGCTAGGGCGCCTGCCATTCCCAGGGAGGCCTGAATGGAGTTCCGAGCTCCTTGCCCTGGCCTGGCCTAACTCTCGAGCTTGGGGGGTGAACCAGCTGACAGAAGAGCGCTTTCTAACTTTGCTTTTCCAATATGTATACATTTCTAAACCTGACCAAGAACTGCAAAGGAGCCGGCCCAGGGGTCTCCTGCCGACAGCCTCACATCCTTCTCCAAGCCCCCCGACCCGGGCGCCCTGCGGCTCTTACCTGCAGCCGCACAGCGGAATGTCAGCAGTTTTGCTCTGTCAAGATGCTCTTTGCCCTGTCTTGCAGCGGGCAAGTGTGGGACTTGTCCCTCTTCTGGCTGGCATCTGTGTGATGGCTCTTTCCTCTCAGATGTCATTGGTGGCCTCTTTGCATTTGCAGCTCTGCTAGAGAAGGCCACACTATGGCAGTCTCCTCCACGGATTCCAGAGGGAGGGAGCAGTCCTACTGCAGGTGCGCCCGCACGGATCTTAAACAGAAGGTTCAAGTCGTGTGCGTTTAATGCAGAGTCTGTGTGCTTTACAGGTTCTAGAAGCCCACAGTGAGGCAGCCAAGTTAATCCACCTAGCCATCAGCATGCTAACATGAGCTACCACCAGTGAATAACCCAGCACCTCCCTGAGTTAAAGTATTTTTGCTAAGCATGTTTTCATGCAAATATTCTGACCACCACCAAGGACACCATTCACTTCAGAGCTCAACGAGCAGTTTCCATAAGTATAAACGTTTTAATTAAAGGCAATAAAAATACAAGAAGTTTTTGATAATTATAAAGTAGAGACAATGAAAAATCCCACCCTCTTAATTTTCAGACCTTTAAAATCTTAGGTGGTATTCTGTTCTGATGAGCTTTTATATAAACAACTGGCCAGTTTATACAACACGAGACTTAATGGCAAATTCTTCCGAACGCTAAGTTACCCGATCACCATACATTAAATTCTCAATTATTTTCTTCAAAGTGCTGCGCATTAAGCTCTGGAGCAGTTTTATGAGATGTAACTACTTGCATCAGCAGCCAATGTACCTCAGTCCTTGATACACAATTGTGGGATGTAGGGACCTAGGGGCCAGAACCTGCATTCTTAAGCATGAGCCTCTTCATGCGAAGCTAATCAACACTTCCTAAAGCTTTAGGCTTTCTTAACATCTGGACAACAGTAAACATTTAATGTCATCAATAATGCAAAGTTACAGTTTCTGTACGGGGTGTACAGTGGAGCTAACACAAAGCAGGTTTACCTTACCACATGCTCTGTAAAAGGGGGCCGTGACTAGGGGAACATCTCGGGACACTGCAGTGGCTGCATTGCCTTCAAGGAGTCTGTGCCCTTCATCTTCCTCTCTGTTCTCGTGCCCTGTCCTCCCACAAAGCTGCACCCAGTGGTGAGCCAGCTCCTCTTCCATCCTGTGCACTCCTGAACACAGAGTGGCCCTAGATAGCCGCCAGCTCTGCTCACACACAACCATGTCCACAGCGCGTGCAGGCCAGTCAGGGAAGTCTGTCTACATTTTGTGCCCAGCACCCCGACAGGCACCAGATTCCACTGTGACTTCCTTTCCATGGTTGTTTCTCATCCTGAAGGTCTGTGTCTTCGTCACAGAGTGGATGCTGGGCAAACAGAACGCTCAGCTCGGGGAGGAGCCCGTCACTGAAGCTGTGTTGTCTTGATGGGGATCGTGCTATTAAAGTCCAAGAAGAAAGGACCTTCTTGTTTAGGTAAAAAAGTGCTGGGAATGATATTGAAGATTCCAGCAGGTATATTTTCCAATTCCAGGTAGCAAAATCCACACCTGTTGTAGTCGGAGAAATGTTAAGAACAAGATTTTACAGAGGATGCCGCCACAAAGAATCCATTTTAAATTGGATAAAGCAGTCAAAATGCCATTACCTGAAGTCACCACTGGATTTCCTCTGGAAGCCATGAGGGCCAGGATCCCCTGCCCAAGATACTGTTACAACCTCAAATCCAACGCTGTACTGCCTGGCAATGCAAATGAACAGCATCGCTCCATTACTCAACAGTCCCCAGCACACGGTGTAAACACCCGCGGCCACAGTGCAGGTGCACTGCTATCCGGACGCTTAAGGCTGACAGACACTGGCTAGCGTGGAAAAGCAATGCCTGATTTCCAATCTTTCTGCTCCAGAACGACCTTTTTCATTTTTCTATAGACTTGCTAAAAAAAGAATTTATTTGAGAGTTATGGGGGCTGCGGATATTTTAAAGATTTCTTTTTGATGGAAAGGCAGATTTACAGGGGAGAGACAGAGATCCTTCCTCCATGCACTGCTTCACTCCCCAAATGACAACAGCTGGAGCTGAGCCAACCCGAAGCCAGGAGCCTCCGTCTCCCACAGGGCCTTCCCAGGCCCCCGGCAGGGAGCTGGGTGGAAAGGGGAGTGCTGGGATTAGAGCCGGCACCCATATAGGATCCTGGCACTTGCCAGGCGAGGACCTTAGCCACTAGGCTACCATGCTGGTCCTCAGATACTATGTTTTAATCATGCCATAGAGTAATGAAGTAAGATTATTTTTATCACAGGCTCCCCAAGGGCTAATTTAAAAAATAAAATATATTTTTATGTAAATTAAAAAGATGTAATAATAAAAAAAGGATAATATAAAAGCCTATGGAGTAAGAAAACAAACCTTGGAATAAAACCTAAATTTCTAGAAACAGTATGCTGACACTCGCCCCAAAATAGTAGGAAATGAAGGACTGATTAGTGAGGAAGTCACAAAATCACAGAAAAAATTATATTCTATATCAAATACTAAAATACATGTATGGATTTAAAAATATAAATCAAACCAAAATAGAATAAAATGTGGTGGAAAACTCCTATGTGGAGAAGATTTCTTGTTTACATAAAATGAAACCGGAAAGGACAGGTGCTGCTTGTAAAACGAATGCCCCGGCTAGCGGTGAGGCGTGGTGGGCTAGCCGGGCTAAGCCCACAGCATCTCAGAAGTGGGTGCTGCTCGGAGCCCCACTCTCGCCCTTGCTGAGCTAGCTCACTGCTCAGGAGCTGGGAAGGCAGTGCAGTGGGACCAAGTGCCTCAGGCCCTGCTGCACCCCTTGGCGATGTGGATGAGCTGCAGGCCTCGGGTTCAGGCCTGGCCCAGGCCCGGCCATTTGGGAAGCGAATCAGTGGATGGAACATCTGCATCTCTCCTTTCTGTGTCA